TCTTTAGAAAAATCTTCTCAGCTGTGCACTTGACTTCATTTCACTGTGGTGTCAACCTCAGCACACTTCAGTCCCTTTCCCCCCTGCTTTACTCTTTTTAAGTATACCTTGGTTTAATGGTCACATTTTGGCTCTGTCATCATCTCTTAGAAGAAGAAAGGAAATATAAAGAGCTTGTCAATTTTTGAAAGGTCATGCCACCAAAGATACTCCTTTCAAAAGGACGGATTTCATGTTCTGAATCTTGGAACTGTCTGTACCATTCACTTCTACAAGGCTTAGCTTCCCTAAATTTTCATCCTGACCAAATCCTTCAATAAGGATGACACTGGATTTAGACTTGCACCATTAAGGGGCAAGTGTGACTTTTTCTAAAATAGGATGAGAGTAATGCAGTGTTTCTCAACCTTGACAATTTTAAGGCAGGAGGACTTCAACTCCCAGAATTCCACAGCCAGCAATGCTGGCTGTGGAATTCTGGGAATTGAAGTCCACATGCCTTAAAATTGTCAAGGTTGAGAAACACTGGAGTAATGGCTGATTTTGCTTTTTAAAAAGGTGTATAGGTAATGCTCATAAGACACTGTTATAATGGAAGACGCAGTCCTCGATTTACAATCTTTCATTTGGTGACTATTCAAAGTTACAACAGCGCTGGGAAAAAAAGGGATTTATGATCGTTTTTTACACTTACAACCGTTGCAGCATCCCCATGGCCACGTGATAAAAATTCAAATGCTTGGCAACTGGCATGTATTTAGGACGGTTACATTGGGGTCATGTGTGATCACTTTTTGCGACCTTCCATCAAGTGAAATCAATGGGGAAGCCGGATTCACTTCACAACCATGTTACTAACTTAATAACTCAGTAATTCACTTTACAGCTGGGACAAAACTCACTTAACAACTGTTTCACTTAGTTACAGTAACTTTGGGCTCAATTGTGATCACAAGTCGAGGACTACTTGTACATTGGAATCAGATGCAGTGTATATTTCCCAAAATGGGAAATACAGAGTATTTGGACATCAATTTGCTTTACCCTAGCTAGCTTCGTGAACATCCTTATCACAACCGATAACTTTTCTGACACTCATTATGCGTGAGTTTTCATGTCTGAAGGTTTTGTATTATTATGCTCAACAGCTTGAGAGGTACAGTGCTAGGATCATCTGTTTTGCTTCCAATTCACCTGGAGAAGATTCATTCATTCATTCATTCATTCATTCATTCATTCATTCATTCATTCATTCATAAGACATACATGGTCATCCCTTTGAGATATCCTAGTCCTGGGTAGTTCCAAAAAAAAAAAAAAGATACAAAACACCCCCCCCCCAACAACTGCAATAAAAACTGCTGGCATCCTGGGGTAAGACTCTTTCACCCATTAGATTCCACCTTGCTGGCCTTCAGCCTTATTCTCCCCCAAAGCCTGGGGGGACGGGGGAGAAGAGTCAGCTCTTCCAAACCTTATAGGAGGATGGAGGTCTGCTGGATCTCTAGGGCAAGGGTGTTCCACCAGGTAGGGACAACTATGGAGTAGGCACACTTCCTGGGTGCCATCAAATGGCAGCATTTAAAGCAGTGGTTCTCAACCTTTTTAATGCTGCGACCCCCAACTGGTCATAAGTCGAGGACTACTCAACCGGTCGTAAGTCGAGGACTACTCAACTGGTCCAGCACCGTTTGCAGAATGGAACTTTTGATGGGCTCAGCAGGGCAGAGACAGCCTGGACAATTCCTATTGGCTTTTGAAAGCCAATAGAATTAAACTCTATTCAAGAGAGTCTATCCTATTGGCTTTCAAAAGCCAATAGAATAAAAGGGAGCTAAGGAAAAGGGGGAAAATAAATGGCGGACTGCGTTGTTTGGCGACCCCCGTGAAATGGTCGTTCGACCCCAGATGGGGTCGCGACCCACAGGTTGAGAACCGCTGATTTAAAGGAAGGGACTTGGGGTGTACCAACCTCATCTGACCTTGTAGGACAGGTAGATATCTTCAGGGGAAATGGTCCTGCATTTAGCTTGACCCGATGCCGTTCAGGGCATGCAGATATTTGCACACTTTAGTATGACTTCTATTAACCGAGTAATTAAAAAAAAAGGCTTATAGCTAACACAGCGACTGCTGTTATTTATAGGCAAGTAAGAATAGAATCACACTTGGTATCAGTAGATACATATTCATATCTGCACTCCTCATGGAGAGTGCAGCCAGGTGCAGGTGCTTCTGGTGTTAATTAAGTTATTAGAAAAGGAAACATCTGTGATACCTCATGATAATCATCCTTTCCCAACTTGGTACTATCCAGAAATATTGGGATTATAGTTCCCAGAATTAGCGATCAGCACAGTAAGAGCTTGGCTACAGGAGGAGGATGGGAGACTGTAGGAGTGGAGGCCAAGGATCTGGGAGAGTCTAGTCCAGGGGTAGGCAACCTTGGCTCTTTTATGACTCGTGGACTTCAACTCCCAGAATTCCTGAGCCAGCATGGCTGGCTCAGGAATTCTGGGAGTTGAAGTCCACGAGTCATAAAAGAGCCAAGGTTCCCCACCCCTGGACTAGTCCTAGCATATTTAAAAAGGTATTTAATAGGAGAAGGATGGTGTAGACCAACTCAGAATTAACCTAGGGAAGGGCTATAGCTCAGCAATATCTTTGCCTGCAGAAGATACCAAATCTAGTTCTAGAATCTCTACAATGGATTCAGAAGACTCCAGCTTGGATTCTTGAGGACTTGCAGCTTGTCCATGTCAATGACACTGTTAGACAGCTTGTTAGGTCTGACTCTACAAGGCAGCTTCCTATAACCCAGAGGGGTCTCCAAACTTGGCAACTTTACGACTTATGGACTTCAACGCTCAAAATTCCTCAGCCAGACACGCTTTGGCTGTAAACATGCTGACTGGGGAATTCTGGGAGTTGAAGTCCACAAAGCTTAAAGTTATCAAGTTTGGAGAGCCCTGCTATAACCCTAAAACAGAGTAGAAATCTGAAATGGCATTAACCTCTGCGCCCTCCCCCCCACTTTAATGTCCTCAGGATATTGTGGTTGGTTTTTTTTTGAAAAAAAGGCAAATGCCTAAATCTGGCTACCCTTTCCCTATTCCAGATATAGGCAGTCTTTGACTTAAAACAGACATTTGTTTAGCAACCATTCAAAGTTACAGCAGCACTGGAAAAAGGGATAACCACCCCTGCTTACGACGGTTTACAGCATCCTCGTGGTCACATAATGAAAATTCGGGCACTTGGCAACCGGCATGCATTTATGACTGTTGCAGAGGCCGGGAGTCATATATGGTTACCATTTGCAGGCTTCCCTGCCGGATTCTGACAAGCCAAGTCAATGGAAGAAGCTGGATTCACTTAACAACTTCAAGATTCACTTCATAACTGCACTGATTAACAACTATGGCCCAAAAGGTCGTAAAATTGGGTGTGACTCACTTAGCAACCAACTTGTTTAGCTATGGAAATTCTTGTCCCAGTTATGGTCATAAATTGAAGACTACCAGTATCTTAATTCTGGGACTAATTTACATTGGAAAAAAGACTCGTTCCCAACCAACACCATCAAAGACAATATTTCTCCAGCCATTCTCCACAATGTGGATTCTCTCAGGTGGTGGTTCCAGAGGGTGCAATTCCCCTGCCACAGCCATTTTGGTTAGGCTCCCTCCATAGCTCATCCCCTTCTGTAGTCCCATCCTACAGAAGAACAATGTCCAAGAATAACATCTCAGCCAGCCTTTACCCACAACATACATACACACACACACACACACACACACACAGAGAGAGAGAGAGAGAGAGAGAGAGAGAGAGAGAGAGAGAGAGAGAGAAACACACCAGCTGGCTCTGCTTTCTGCAGGCATCCCCAAATGTAACAGCCTTAAGCTGTTCTTAGCCGAAGTGGTATCACAATAGGATTAGTCTCCTTCTTACACCACCATCTAAGCCTTTAAGGTGTGGAAGGCTTAGTCACCTAGGCTTAGAGGGAAATCGGGCGACTGCAGTGAGGTGGAACCAAGGCTAAAGGCACAAGGCGGGACTGGCAGCACATTGGCCAGGGCGCTGTTTTTTTAATGGCTCAAGAATGGATGGAGAACAGTGAGGAAAGGCACAGACTCTTAGAATGGGCTCTGACAACAAGGACTTAGGAGTTTGTGTCTGTGTTTGCGTGGATGGGATGGATGGATGGTTGGGACGGATGGAGGCAAATGATGCTTTCTAACTTTGGCTGAGGGTGGTTAGGCCAGCCAATGGGGCAGAAACCAATCTGTCCTGCTTGAGGCTATTCTAGCAGATTGTTCAGCATAAATCTGATTGCCACCGTTTGGCTGAAGCCACTCTGGGCACTGCAGCCTGAGAATCCGGCACAGGTCCAAGAATGGGAAGGATCGTGAGGAGTGTTCAAAGAGATAAGAATCTAGAAGTGCAACCAGAAGTGAGGAAACTGCCAATCTGACCCAGCACATATTTGCCCATGAGGGAAGCAGAAAGAGACCATCAACCCCTCCCCCCACCCCTGGCCCGTTCCACGAAGGCAGGCCGCCCATCCTCCTGAAGTCGATAAAACGAGGACCCAGTTTTTTTTTTTTGGGGGGGGAGGGACATATGCCGACTCTGTAAACCGCTTAGAGAAGATTGTAAAGCCCTGTGAAACGGTATATAAACCTAAGTGCTGTTGCTATTGCTAGCCGAGAGATTTCCTCGGAGATACTGAAATTGAGTTCCCAACCAGCTGGCAACCGAGATCAGATTCAGGAAGAAGACTTTGGAACTTTGCAACCAAACCTCGCACCAACTCCCCCCCCCCAATAACTTTCCCTCTCTCCGCGCGAGCCCAAGAAACCAGCTAGCCACGGGGCTACGCACACGCACGTGCGGGGGCTCCCGCCGGCATCGCAGCCACAAGCGGGTTTTCCGGCTCGGGTCTCGCTCTGCGCGAAAGGCGCCAGAGCCGCGTTTCCCCGCCCGGGACTACGCACCTGTTCCAGCGGGCTATTTTCCGCCGGTAGTAGCTCAGCGTCTCCTGCCCGCTGAGCAACTTCTCTGCCGGCTCTTCGGGGGCGCTGTAGAGCGGGTGCGAGAAGAGCCTCCTCAGCTTGGAGCGGTCGGCCTGGCGGCTCCGGTTGGCGGGCGCGCTCGCGGGCGGCCGAGTCCGGAACTTTGGACCGGCGGCGGCTTCGGCGGGGCAGGAGCAGCGTGGCTCAGCCGTCTCGGCCGGAGCGAGGCGGCGCCGCATTTGGGGCCAGAGGTGGAAGTAGAGATCGGCACTGAGCAGCGCCCCGAGAAGCAGCAGGATGAGCAGCCGGTCGCGGCGGGTCCCCAGCATGGTCAGCCCGGCGTTCGGCGAGAGGCAGGCCGGGCGAAGGCAACGCACGGGCGACCCGGGCAGAGCGCGGGCGCTGGGAGGGAAGGAGGCGAGCCTCGCACCGCTGGCGGGAGCCCGGGCGAGCCCAGGCAGGGCCTCTGCCCCGCTGCCGCTGCAGGAGCAGGTGAGAGGCCGAGGGAGGCAGGCAGGCAGCGCCCCGCTTCTCGCCAAGGCTACACCTTGGCCAAATCGCCTCTCCCGAGCTGCCCTCCCCAGGCAGGCAGACCGTGCAGCCTCTGGAAGGATGGATCTGCTCGGGGTGGGGAGGGAGGGAGGGAGGGAGGGAGGGGAGCCGGCACGACCAGCCTCACCTACTACCCTCCTCCTCCTCCTCCCAGCTCAGCTCAGCAAAACCGCCGCGGCGGCGGCGGCGGCAGCGCAGCCGCGCCTTCAGATCGGGGCCTCTTGCTCCCCGCCATCCCCGGCGGGTCTCTTTTCCTCGCCGGCCTTGCCGAAACGTCCCGGGCGAGGCGAATGCAGCGCGTGGACAGTGAGAGCGGAAAGCGCCCGGCGGCTGTCGAAGGCAGGGGAGCAGACAGCCCGAAAAAGAGCGGTCGCCAAGTTTAGGAACTCCGGTGCGGTAACTGCACTGGGCGAAGGCAACCTTCCTCTTGGGGTTGTGTTCAGAAAGCCCCGTCTAACGCGCTGGGAATTCTAGCCTTGACCCTCCCTTCGCTGTCAGGAAGGCGAGACTTCAGGCGCGAAGAAGGCGAGCTCCGGCTCTCGTGAAGGGATCTGTTCCAAACGCGTGTCAACTTAAGTCTCGATTTTGGAACTCATTGGTTTTGTTTGCATCACGTGGTTAAACAGAGACCTAAAAAGGTGTTATCTGCCCAACTATGGACTGAACGGTGGTTTAGCGTATTGTGTGAATTGGATCAGCTTATGTTTCAGTGTATTGGGCCGATTCGGATACCGTGTTAAAGCAGTGCAGATGAGAGAAGCTGGTCAGTTCGGGTCACTCTGTGCTATGACGGATGGCTTGAAGGGCAAATTTGGGGTGGCTGGACGGCTAACGGCTACTCCAGTGGCAGGAGGGAAACCAAGCCAAACTGTTTCCTTTTGCACTTTACACGTCCCCCCCCCCTTACTCTGCAACAATTCTTTGCCATTCAAGCTACTTGCTTCCAAACACTGTTTCTTTGGAAGATAGGGAAGAGATTGGACATTGGTGCTAAAGCCCTTCCTTCCTTTTTTTTTTTTTTTTATGAGCACCATCCTGGACCGTCTTTGGCATCTCCAATTACTGTATATATATTCTTTTAAAATGCTGGGCTACAGTTTCCTTGAAAGGTTGCCTTTTAGGGAGGCATGGCCAGCTGAGCAGAATAGTCTTTCCTTAACGGCAGATTTTCAGCTGTACCTTCCATTACATCTGGTCAGTTTAATGCAGCGGATGAGGATGATGGAATGTAGAGTTGTTGAACAAATAGTCCAGCCTGTCATGAGATCACATTCCTCTTTCCACTTCTGGTTTCTTCTCACTCCTTCCTCTTCTGTTTTTCCTCATCTTTCTTTGAAAGACCATGACGTTGCTTCCTCTTTTTTATTCCAATCTTCTCAAATAAGAATAAGCCAATTGGATCTCTATGGCATGGGTGTGTGTGTGTCTCTCTGTGTGCGTACACTCACTAAATACAGGACATAACTACTGTGGGAAAAATCTGTGCTCCTCCTCTTCTTCTCTAACCCAGGATTAAATAATAGTAACACAGAGCTGAGATATTAGTTCTAAGTCTGCTCTGTATGTATATATGCATTTATTCATTCAATCAACTAACTTCTAGCCTGCCACAATCACAGTGATTCTTGGTGACTTACAATATATATAAAACAAGATTTATACCATCCATGGTCAGAGTAAAAGCAATCCTAATAACAATAACTATATAAAGTCCTAACACAACAACCATTAAAAAAGAGAATATGATTAAAGGAAGAAAAGCAAAGTCTAAATAATAATAATAATAATAATAATAATAATAATAATAATAATAATTAATGAACATCTGGATGACTGTGCGATGATCCATAATAATAATAATAATAATAATGTTGGAAGGGACCTTGGAGGTCATCTAGTCCAACCCCCTGCTCAGGTAGGAAACCCTATACCATTTCAGACAAATGGCTGTCCAGTCTCTTCTTAAAAACTTTCAGTGTTGGAGCATTCACTGCTTCTGGAGGCAGGTTGTTCCACTGGTTAATTGTTCTCACTGTCAGGAAGTTTCTCCTTAGTTCTAGATTGCTTCTCTCTTTGGTTAGTTTCCACCCATTGCTTCTTTTACCATATGTATGTTAAAATTATTGGAAACATTTCAGGATCTAAAGATAGGTAAACAACTGAGAGTTTGTTTTTACACTCCAAGCAGAAATACGTTTGATGGTGTTAAAACACCAAACTTTTATGAGAGAGCTGAAGTCAATCATTTTTTTTCGTTGTTGTTACCTCCACCCCAGTGTGAAGAAAGAGGTTAAAGATGTCTTGGAAAGAGGCCGCATCAAAAGATTTCTTGGCTAGATAAAATAACTTTGATCTATGGGTCTATCCTGCCAAGATGTACGTTCTTCTTTGCTGATCTGAAAGATTGCACATAACATTTTTAGACAGGATGCTTTTATAATCATTTTCTTCTGGGCAAGGAGTCACCAGAGAATTATGGGCCTTTGTAAGATGTAGCATTATATCAGGGCTGGGGTTAAGAATTATTTCCATCACAAGGTGTTACCATGTTTAGCAACTGTTTTTGCCAGCTGTGGCCTTAAAGGAATTTGCCCATGGGCGCAATTTCAATTAAGTTCTTTAAAAACTCACTTAAGACATAACATGGAGTATGCTATATGTGAATTAAATAATCTTAAATCTGTTCCGAGTCTTTGGTTTTGTTTTTTTTAAGAAAAGCAAGTCAGACTCTTTTTTTATATTCACAGTAAACTCTTCCTTCTGCAGGTGGTTTCTCTATCTCTCAACGAGCTTGATGCAAACAAGATTATGAGATGCTTTTCTCAGTTGTCATAAATGAATAGCAAGGATTTCTTTAGAAAATGATGAGTTGGCTATTATAAATTATACTATTACGATGGTGGAAACGGTTTATCAATTTTTGCCTTCCGGAAAGGTATCAAAATCTGGTTTTGCCAGTTGGCTTGGGGACCCAAGGGGGGGGGGCGCTCACCACTGGAAGGGGTTGATAGGGGTAACAGGGATAGGCAACCTTGGCTCTTTTATGACTTGTGGACTTCAACTCCCAGTATTTCTGAGCCAGCTATGCTGGCTCAGGAATTCTGGGAATTGAAGTCCACGAGTCATAAAAGAGCCAAGGTTGCCTATCCCTGGGTTAGAAGGTCTCCTCCTCATGCCGTCCATCTCCTTGATTCTAGTTTCATGCCGTCCATCTCCTTGATTCTAGTTTCATGCCATCCATCTCCTTGATTCTAGTCCATCTCCTTGATTCTAGTCATAAAAGAGCCAAGGTTGCCTATCCCTGGGTTAGAAGTCTCCTCCTCATGCCGTCCATCTCCTTGATTCTAGTTTCATGCCGTCCATCTCCTTGATTCTAGTTTCATGCCATCCATCTCCTTGATTCTAGTCCATCTCCTTGATTCTAGTCATAAAAGAGCCAAGGTTGCCTATCCCTGGGTTAGAAGGTCTCCTCCTCATGCCGTCCATCTCCTTGATTCTAGTTTCATGCCGTCCATCTCCTTGATTCTAGTTTCATGCCATCCATCTCCTTGATTCTAGTCCATCTCCTTGATTCTAGTCATAAAAGAGCCAAGGTTGCCTATCCCTGGGTTAGAAGGTCTCCTCCTCATGCCGTCCATCTCCTTGATTCTAGTTTCATGCCGTCCATCTCCTTGATTCTAGTTTCATGCCATCCATCTCCTTGATTCTAGTCCATCTCCTTGATTCTAGTCATAAAAGAGCCAAGGTTGCCTATCCCTGGGTTAGAAAGTCTCCTCCTCATGCCGTCCATCTCCTTGATTCTAGTCCATCTCCTTAATTCTAGTTTCATGCCATCCATCTCCTCGATTCTAGTCCATCTCCTTGATTCTAGTCATAAAAGAGCCAAGGTTGCCTATCCCTGGGTTAGAAGGTTTCCTCCTCATGCCGTCCATCTCCTTGATTCTAGTTTTATTCTAGATGCCGTCCATCTCCTTGATTCTAGTATATAGCTGTTTAAAATTTTAGTTGTTTTTATATTTATATTTTTATATTTGTAAGCAACTCAGAGTGGCCTTGTAGGTGAAAGGGGCAGCATATAAAATAAATAAATAACGATAGGGCTTTCTCTTTGTATTAATGACCCTTTAAATGGACTTTTCCAATCTGCTATCTACAGAATTCTAGTAACAGAATTTTCAACGTATCTGGAAGACAGCATCTTAGGGAAGCCTATTTTAAGCAAATCAGTTGAGGAACGCAGTAGCACTCAAAAATCATAAATTTAGCTTTTAAAAGAGCACATCATATTATAATGGAATTATACAGTGATGTGCAATGGTTAAATTTAAACTAATGCAGGCAGTTTTATAGCTATGTTATGAACAGTAACTCAGACTTTGTTGTAGCTTAACTGCTTTTGCTAGTAGTTAATTTCCATAACAATTTGAATTGCATTCATCCATTAATAACAAAAATCATATTTTTATTTTATGGAGTGCTATTTAAGTAAGAATATTAGGATGCAGGATATAGCATTTTTAAGGAGACTGACTGCCCTATGAATATATTCAGATTTCATGAAAAGGACAGCTGCCTCAAAGTAATATCATAGAGGCAGGTTGTGAGCTGCAGTGTTGTTTTGACTACTGTACTTAACAGCAGAGTGAGCAATCTGTTATCCTCAAAGTATGGTCAGATGGCCACTCCCATTGTTGCCTAGGCTCTCTGGAAATGATGTTGTGGGGTCCAACTACATCTATAGGGGAGTGTGTTATATGATCCCAATCTATAGATCTTTATTATTTATTAACCCATAATGCATTTGTTTGCATACATCCGTAATTTATAAAGCAACAAAACATATCTGAAGTTGCGACTGTCTGTTCTCCAAGGGCTCATGATTTCGACCCAGTATCTTCTTTAGCTTTTATTTATTTTTTGTTTGTTTTTTTCCTAGTAACACTTGTCTAAATTTATCTCCGGCTTTGTTTCTATAACAACTCTATAGTTTTATTTTCTATCTTCTGAAGAACCTGCGTATTCAGTTTCAGGCACCTACAACTACACCTGGATGTTATTTTAAAAAGATAGAATC